TATTAACGTTGGGTTGAGCGGGAGCACACAGCCCAAATTAGAGCAGTTTCACCACTCTCTCCAAGGTTATCCTTAGGCAGGCTGTGCAAGAGGCCAGATTGGGAGATGAGAGAAAAGAGTGAGAAAGACGAGAGAGCGGAGGGCATTTAGGGACATAAAATAATATATATAAAGACAAAAAGAACAGAGGGGGAAGCTGAAGTTGCTGTCAGATACAACGTTGTAATCGATCAGCTTTACAACATCATTTAAGCTCATTTGCATGCAATGGAATGTCAGGTTTAATTGTGATCCTGGACATATTTGATGCCAATTATGTCCAAGAACGAAAAGAAAGTAAGAGAAACTTTGTAGCAGTAGATGTTTTGAGTTCACGGTGGCACTGTTTAAGTGCAATTTATTGTATAGTTTCACTGTTTCAGTCATTCTGTCATCTCTTTCTCTCTCATTCCATCTCTTTCTCCGTGTCCCTGTGGACTATTGCCTCCTGTTTTCCCCGCTTCTTGCCATAGGCACTGAATACAAGTATGCAAATAGAGCGATAACATGGACTTTCATGTCGTGCTCATGTCATCCCTTCTGTCAATCAGCAGTCAAAACAAGACGAGACCTGAGACGACAGTCACTTTAGCCCTCTGAGCTCGAGAACCAAACTCAGTGCTTTCCTTCTAATTTATTCAGATTTTTTTTTAGTCAGATGTCAGAAAACCACAATAAATGCCACCATTGTCATCCATACACTATATCAACATGACACACACACGTAAAATAAACGATGTAAAAATATAGAAATAAACAGTAAACCTCAAATGAACCAGATAAAAGTCCACTGTATGTCTGACATGTAATACAGCTTCATCTGGTTCCCGGGAGTTGGATTATTGTATATATATCTGTATTCATATATATATATATATTTTTTTTTTTATATCAATTTATAAATATTCATTTATTTATGTATTTATGTGCAGTATATGTCTGTTCAGTACATGTTGTACCACATTTCATTGTACAATTTGTTGCTTACAGAGGACGCTAGCTCAGTTCTGGTTCTACGGATTGACCAGGTGTCCGATGCTCCATCCAAGCCCGACAGGCCAGCCAAAGAGCCTGTCGCTATGACAACTGAAGAGTTCTTCCACTTCAACTTTTATCCTTGCCTTGGCAACGCCCAGCAGTGCGTGACAGTGTTGTCTCCTTATCCCTCTTCTGCAGTCAGAGGGAGATTCTGAGTTGTTTTGGAGACATTTCCCCTGGATATAATGGTATCTGTTCCTGTAGGGGACTGCGTTGTGTATGGGTATAAACAGATTTGCAGCCAGCTTTGTGGGTAAGTAGCATTCAAAGTGCTACCATTACCTGAAACAATTAGAAGCAAATTAGGATTGATTTCTAAACTGTACATTTTTGTTGCAGCCCTCTTGTGGTCATATTCAGAGGTTTAATATAGACACACAATAGTCAGAAAACCCTGGTATGAAATCATCAGGGGAACACTTACAGTTTTTCTCGATTGCTTAAACACTATCACCAGGCTTTTGAACTAAAATTTCAAAACCATAACGCCATTTATCAAAAAGCACACCCATTTCCCTAAACTATAAACACTATTCCCCTTTTTGACACATGAATCAGATTTGTTGAACTGTCACTGCAAAACTCTACACACAAATCCCTTCATTTCTCATTGCCTAGACCATGTTGTCATTTAGAAAGCACTAGCATTCAATATTGTTCACTCAAGTCAGCATAGCTTGAGCTCAATTAGCACACATTTACCCACGTGGAAACACTAAGAGTCAAAATTTATAACACACCAATCAGAACCTTCAAGAGGAGGAGGAAGAGGATGAGCAAGAGCAGTAAGGAGTGGAGGAAGAGGTGAAGGAAGAGGAAGAGGA